TGACCATTCTTTCAGAGGAGATGTTCACAGAGTCAAACCTGAATCTCCCCTGACACAGCATTAGGCCATTCCCTCTAGTCCTATTGCTAGTTATATGGGAGAAGAGCTCAACCCCCACCTCACCGCAACCTCCCTTTCAGGTAGTTGTAGAGAGAGAGAAGGTCTTCCCTGAGCCTCCTCTTCTTCAGAATAAATAATTCCACTTCCCTCAGCCACTCCTCTTAGGACTTGTGCTCCAGACCCCATAGAAAAGCTTCATTGTTTTTCTATGGATATGCCACAGGGCTTTGATGTCTCTCTCACAGTGAGAGGCCCAAAACTCAACACAGTCCATAAGGTAGAGCTTCACCAGCTCTGAGTACAGAGGGATGATCCCTCATTGCTCTTGCTAGTAACACTATTTCTGATATAAGTCAGGATGCCATTGGCCTTCTTGGCCACTTGGGCACAGTGCTGGCTCACGTTCAGCTGACTGTCAAAAAATACCCCCATTCTGTTTCCTCTACACAGTCTTCCATACGCTTTGCTTCAAGTCTGTAGTGTTGCCTAGGATTGTTGTGGCCCAAGTGCAGAAGCTGGCACTCGGGGTTGTTGAACTTCATCCTATTCGCCTCAGCCCAGCAATCAGCTGGTCCAGATACCTCTGTAGGGTCTTCTGTCCTCCAGGCACTTCATCACATACTTCAATTGTGGGAATGAAGGGTCCTGGGAGAATGAGAGGGGAGAAGTTAGGGTACCCTGAGGCAATTAGCTACTGACTGCACCCTGAGTAGAGGGAAAGTAAGATGTGAGTAAGGACTAAGTAAAGAAAGTAAGTCAGTAAGTCAGACCTTGTGTTTTCTTGCTACTTACAACATGACTTGATCATTGCAGTTGATGTCACCCTGAATGCTGACACGGCTCACCCCAGACTGGAAGTGTCTGAAGATGGGAAGAGCGTGAATGATACCGGTGTGATCAGACAGGTGCCCAGCAAGGAGGAGAGATTTGATTCCCACATTTTTGTGTTGGCAAAGGAAGGATACACATCCGGAAGAAAATACTGGGAAGTGGATGTTGGAAAGAGAAGAAACTGGATCTTGGGTGTTGCTTCTGAGTCTGTGGCTCGTAAAGGGACTGTGAACCTGTCCCCAAAGAATGGCTTCTGGGTCATAGGGTTAACAGATGGGGAAGAGTATTGGGCCCACACGGATCCTTGGACTCGTTTGACAGCGAGTGGTAGACCACAGAAGATTGGGGTCTTCCTGGACATCTCTGCCAACAAGCTCTCATTTTATGATGCCAAAAAGAAATCAGCTTTGTACACTTTTACCAGTATTGGTGATAGCAGACTGGAAAGGAAATTCATTCCCTTCTTCTCAACAGGTTCTGGTGTCTCAGCGCTTGATACTGAGCCACTGAAAATCGTGCAAGGGTTTGATGATGATGATTGAATGTGTGATTAAATACAGATTGTGAAATGAGACTGATATGTTGTCAAAAAATCCCCAACTTTGTGTTTCCCAGTGAAGTCTAGCTAGGTTGTTGGTACCAGAATTTTTCAGCACTGCTTGCTATTCCTGCTGTGAGACAGCAGAAACAAGCACTAGAAATCACGTTGATAAATGGAGTATAGCACTCAGCATCCTTATGAACTCCTTATAAATCATGAGTTTTATTAAAGACTCGTGTGCGGAACTGAAATGTCTTTTCAGAGCAGGAGGTGCAAGATGTACCTTTCAATTTGATAGCCCCTGGCTGTTTCTTTCCCACCTCAGTCACATGGAACTAAATTCAGTATCCAGGAGATGTCCAAAAGCAGATCACATCAGACTCATATAGTCAAATCTGCATCAGTCACATCATGCTTCTTCTCTTCAGTTCAGTTCACATGTATCTTCCATGCCATTTTTGTAGGTATGAAGATCAGTTTGTGGTTGAAGTTCCTGTTCCTCTCCAGAGGCATCAAAGCATAGCAAGGGTTGGTCTGTCATTCCTAAGGGTCTAAAATGTCTGATAAATTTTATCCAGAGATACCAAATAGAGAATTATTAGGATTTTGCTATTTTTCCTACTAAAGCCTCAACTGTCTAGTCCAACAATCCTTTAAAAATGGTATGGAAGTCGTTCCTGTCCCCTTATTCCAGTAGAAAACCTGAAGCATGGATGAGGGGCTTTGTAGTGTTTCAATGTCCTTCAATTCCCAACCAGTGATGATTGACATCTTCCACTTACCAGAATCAAGGTGCCAAAACTTCCTGCTTCACTCTGGGCATTGTAGACCACTCCAGACTTCCTTCTAATTGCAATTGCTCACAATCAGTCAGTTAAGGCTCTCCTTTCTGAATTTTCATGGAGTGTCTTTCTCAAAAGGGATTCCCAAAAAGTCCCATCAGTTCCATGAAATTGGAAGCTTGTATTTCAGTAATTATTTACCTATTTTATACAGTAGTCTAAATTCTGTCAATTGAATTGTTCTAAATCATGTTTGATGAGACTGAACAACCTGCTTTAAGGTAAAGATGCCCTTTCCCACGGCACAGAGTTTAGAGGACAATCTTTAAAGGTCTTTTCCTACTCAGACCATCCCAAGTATGAAAAGAAATGAAAACATGTAAAATCATAATAGCAAGTGGAGAACCAAACAGATCACAAGAAGCATTCAGTGAAAGTTTTTGACAAATGAAATAGCACAACTTTTAGAAGAATTAGGAGATATATTACATCAAACACACACAAAAAAATGTTCTCCTTTCATATTGTAAGTTCTGGTTAGTGCCTATGAGTATCTACATAAATCCAAGTGTGAAAAATCCTACTCTGTAATTCAGTGTAACCACAGTTTAAATAGAAATAAATGATTTCCTTTCTGTTATTTGCCCACGTCTTACTATTTTCCACTTACGTTTGCTTATGTCTCAAACTTCCAAGGGGTTTACAGACTGGCTGAAGTTGGGGAGATCCCAGAGCAGGGAAGTCCACAAGCCCTGCATGGGTGAACAAGAATATCCCAGAAAAACTCAAACACACACAAAAAAGGGTTTTTAAATAGGTAGGGCATAATGTGGTTACTTGTCATACAGTATGGATCTGGGGTTAGATAGAGGCAGTAAAGCCTTAGAGTTGAAACAGTTTATGGATTTATTTCACAATCAAATCACTGATGGATCACATAGGAGGCTGCTGTATTTTATCACCTACACAACTTGATGCCCTTGAAGACAAACACAATCATAAGCTTCAGCAAAGTGAGCTTTTTTATTTGTCTTGTTGGCATACATTCTGAGGATGCTATTCAAAGCCTGATCATGAAATTCATACCAGGATACAGAGCGACAGAAAGACACAGATGTACCTTGATTGCTGAGGTTTGCTGCTTCAGAACTGTCCTGGCCAGGACAGCAGTGACTGATCATGAGGTACAGGGGGGTTTGGTCAGCTCCTTCATCCAGGGAACCCTGAGATAACAGAGCAGCCCAGCAGCTCTCACCAGAGTGGCTGACGTTGAGACGAGCATTGCCAGGGCAATTAGCCCTGCTAGTGAGTCTGCTGGTTTGCTGAGGCTGCACCCTGGTGGAAGGCTATTGCCAGGAAAAATGTGGAGACCAAGACCTCAGTCTAGGTCCTATGCATACATGGGAAGGCTGCTGCTAAGAAAAATGTGGGAACTCAGACTGAGGTACTGAAACAACACCCTAGTGCACGGGTCTCTGGCTGCAGTGAAGTGCCAGAACCTGGCCTTTGCAGTGTTAGACAATGGAGACAGCACTTGTGTTAGATACAGCCAAGTAAATGACTCACTCAGCCTTGTGGTTGACCTGAAGGAGAAGGTGGGGAGGCTGAGGAGGGAAATGTGAGAGGGAGATTGATTGGTGGTCCCAGTTCCTATCGGCCCTGAGATCTAGGCAGCCAGTTTAGGCTCCACATGGATCACATCTCCCCACCCTGCAAACAGGTGGTGGAGGGGAGCTGGCAGGCAGGCAGTGTTCCTACTACTGTGAACCCTATGTCCTCTCCTCCTCCTAGCAACAGTGATGAAGAATAGAGTCTTCAGTCCATTCAGGTCCTCTTGAATGGTAGCACAGCCTTCAGGTGTGTCAGCCACCACTCTCAGCTTTGTGTCATCAGCAAGCTTGCTGAGGGTCAACTCTATCCGTTCATCCAGGCCATTGATGAAGATACTGAAGAAGACCAGATCCAGCACTTACCCCTGGAGAACTGCTAGTTACAGGCTTCCAACAATACTCTGTGCCACTGATCACAGCCCTCTGAACTCTGCCCTCAGCCAGCTCTCAGTCCACCTCACCATCTACTCATCTATTCCACGCTACCTTCATTACAGCTGTGTGACACAATGTCACTTGCTGAAGTCAAGGTACACCACACTTACTGTTCCTCTCCCATCTATCATCCAGTGATGGCATCATAGAAGGCCACCAGGTTGGTGGAACATAATTTCCCCTTGGTGAATCCACGTTGGCTTCTCCTGATAACCTTCTTATCTTCCAATTACTTGGAGATGACATTCAAAACAAGTTGTTCCATCCCTTTTCCAGGGATGGAGGTGAAGTTGGCTGCCCTGTAGTATCTTAGATAATTTTTCTTGCACTTTTTGAAGACTGAAGTGACACTGGCTGTCTTCCAGTCTTCTATTTTCTTTGCCTGGACAGACTTATCATGGTGCTCTGTTTTGTTTTTTTTTTGTGGTGGTTTATACACGACTTGGAATTCACACCCAATCTCAAGAATACTTTCAACCAAAGTCAGAAACTGTTCGTATTCTCTTAGTTGAGAAGAAGTAAGATAAAAGCTATTTTACTTCAAACTGGTTTTTTTTTTCTACTTTTTTTCCCATGTTTTCTTTTTTTTTTCTTGAATCCTACTTTCCTTAATTTATGACATCCTAAGATGATGTTACCTCTCCTCCCCTCTGCCCTGACCACTTAAAATACAAAACAAATAAACAACAAAAAAAAATTTGCAGTTAAAAAAACAACAAAAACAACAACCAAAAACTCCACTTTGATTCTGTAAGACACTTTATTCAAAATCTCATTTTACAGTGGCTCCAAAGGGACGGGGGTTAATACTGGGTGGATAACAGGTGTGTCTGCCTCTCCTCCTTTGGATAAAAATGGGAAAAACATTTCTGTAGGTTCCTTTCCAAGACTTATAGGGATTTTTACCATGGTGGACATCTGATGAGCTTCGTAGAAGTTTATTTGTGCTTCCTCCAAGTCCAGAAGCACACCAATCACTGAGTCATTCATCTCCTTCTTCTCAAAACTGATGTTTCCCTTGATAGAGAAAATGTCTCCCTTGGATTTCTGCAGAGCCCAGAAGTCCTCTCTAGCAAGTGTCTCTTGCTCCTCTTGTTTTCCTTTCTGCCTCATGACCCCCAGCACCCAGTCCTGCTGCTGGCCCACATCCACTTCCCAGTAGTGTTTCCCAGATGCAAACCCTTCCTTTGCCACCAGGACAGGGATTGTGGAGGGGCTGCTCAGGTCAGCAGGTTCAGTTGCATTGCTTTCAACATCTGGAGCTCCTGGCACTTGGATCTCAAGGAGTTGGCATTCAGGATTCACAGTAATGGGAACTGGAGGGGAAAACGAGATAACAGTGCTTCAGGGACCTCTGTGTTCAGGGTGAGATGGGTTGAAGCATTTGAGGATCCGAGCAGTCCTGGCATGATTTGACAAGGAATTGAAACATTTCCCCCTAACAGGGCAGGAATCAATCACATACGAACTAACAGGACCTTGGAGTTGTCATAGCCATAGTGTTCTCCCTTGTGGGCAATCCCAGGTGATTCTCTCCCTCTCCATACAATATAAAATTAAATAATACAACAGCCACAAGCCTCATTCCCTTCTAACCAAGCCAGGTGAAGGCTTACTCCTATGACTCCAGCTCAGATGTTCAGTTTCTAAGATCACAGCATTGTCATGTCAAGGAAACTTGGTCAAAGAATTTTTTTGTACACTCCTTCCCTTCAGTTTTACCTGCATAGCTCTGGGCTTCCCAGAAATCTGCAGAAAGGAAAAAGATGATAGGGTTTTATTATTCCATCGGCAATTGCAGACTTCTGAAACTAATGTACTGAAAAAATTACCCCCATACAATTCTTGTCACCTCTGATTCTCTATCAGTTTTGGCTTAGGTCCACTTAACTCCACAATTCTTCTTGCTATCATTTTTAATGACTTACCCAGCTCAGCTTTCAGTTTACCTGCAAGGGAAAGATATTTCAGTCAATAACACTTGTTTCTTTTTATATTTTCATTATAGTTTTATAAAACAGAACAACCCTAGGGCATGAAATGGGAGAGAATTCTGGAAGCCGTAGTGAGGAACATTTTTATTCATGCTATTTAAATATCAGCATCAGTGCTCCAAAGGGAGGGGCACAAAGTTGTCCTCCAGACTCCATCAGGTCTGCATTTACACAGCATTACCTCAGATATGTCTTGAAAAAAACCCTTTAGTAAAGCAGGTGAGGGACATCTGAAGGACAGCTTAGATGGGATTATTCAAGGAAAATTCTAGTTTTATCTCTGGGCTTCTTTTTGCTCTCAGAAAGATATATTCTTGTACTCTGTCTGGTCTGGATGTGTCTTTTAACTGCTCTCATGATAAGGATGCCTGACTTTCTGAGAAGATACGACGGGTCTGGGTCATCCTTAGAAGGGTTCTTCTACTTTGTGCTGAGCAGCCAGGTTATTTCTGTGGGCGTTCTGGAAGCAGTTGAATCCAAAACAAGCTCCCTAATAGGCTCTGGATTTTCACACAATCCTGAAATACATTCTCCAGAAGAGAGAAGGCCAAAATTATATCAGAATAAATCTGATTCTACCTAAAAGCCTGGTGGTGGGAGCCTTTCATAGAAAGAGATTTGGGCAAGATTTCTTGTCTGCTGCTTCACCAGAAGAGTTTGGAACTGACTTTTTTTCTCTCCAGGAAATGCATTAATGCTACAGTGCTGAAGAGTGCTTCATCTACTTGTTTCCATGAGCTTTCTGGAGCAGATTCAAGTCAGAGGGCTGTTCTAGCTGACTGGAAGAAACTGTTGTCTATCTTGCAGCACTCCCTGCTACCAAAACCTTGGCATGTCATTCCAGTGCAGTTTCTAACTTTACAGTTAGAAACAGGGTTAGGGTTAGGGTTAGGGTCAGGGTTAGGGTTAGGGTTAGGGTTAGGGTAGGGTTAGGGTTAGGGTTAGGGTTAGGGTTAGGGTTAGGGTTAGGGTTAGGGTAGGGTTAGGGTTAGGGTTAGGGTTAGGGTAGGGTTAGGGTTAGGGTTAGGGTTAGGGTTAGGGTTAGGGTTAGGGTTAGGGTAGGGTTAGGGTTAGGGTTAGGGTCAGGGTTAGGGTTAGGGTTAGGGTTAGGGTTAGGGTTAGGGTTAGGGTTAGGGTTAGGGTTAGGGTTAGGGTTAGGGTTAGGGTTAGGGTAGGGTTAGGGTTAGGGTTAGGGTTAGGGTAGGGTTAGGGTTAGGGTTAGGGTTAGGGTTAGGGTTAGGGTTAGGGTTAGGGTAGGGTTAGGGTTAGGGTTAGGGTCAGGGTTAGGGTTAGGGTTAGGGTTAGGGTTAGGGTTAGGGTTAGGGTTAGGGTTAGGGTTAGGGTAGGGTTAGGGGTAGGGTTAGGGTTAGGGTAGGGTTAGGGTTAGGGTTAGGGTTAGGGTAGGGTTAGGGTTAGGGTTAGGGTTAGGGTAGGGTTAGGGTTAGGGTTAGGGTCAGGGTTAGGGTTAGGGTTAGGGTTAGGGTAGGGTTAGGGTTAGAGTTAGGGTAGGGTTAGGGTTAGGGTTAGGGTTAGGGTTAGGGTTAGGGTGAGGGTTAGGGACCCTACAGTCACCAATTTGGCTGAAGCAGCTCTAAATAATTTTCATGGCAAATGGTTCAGAGACTGAATACAAGACCTGCTGTCCCCTAAGCCTGTGGAGTCAGGTGCAAAAAGATGAAATAAAGTGAAAAACAAGTGCATGGAGTATGAAGATAAGTTTATATACAATATGTATTTTGTGAGGATTGCTCTGAAGGTAATGTCTACTATTTTATTCTGTTGGCCGACCATGTCAGAGGCGTGTGTTGGTGAGATGGCAATGGAAGTAGAACCTTCTTGCCAATAATTCATTACATTTTGTTGCCATGTGACAGATGGCAGCAGAGGGGCACTCTGACAAATTGGCATCTGACACAGAAACGCATATGAAGCAAAGGTGTGTAATTGAATTCCTCCATGAAGAAATAATTGCACCCTATTGACATTCATTGATGCTTCCTGAATGTTTATGGAGACCAAACAGTGTATGTGAGCACAGTGAGCTGGTGGGTGGTGAGTTTCAGCAGAAGTGAGAGAGGCTCACCTCCATTAGTGCAGCTCTTTTATAGGATAAAATCCATTGGAAATCCATGGTATCCAGATCTTTATTGTGAAGTTAGGCCTGGAAAACTTGTGGCCAAGAAAAGGTAGTCTAGGCTAGTCATACAGTAAAGCAGCAGGACAGCAACTATGGTGAGATTATTTTTTTTTAAGAAAAAAACAGAACCTTGTAGATGGATGTTTCACCATATTTGTCCCATTTCACCATCTGGGATGGCACTGACAAACTCATCTGAAGAATTTTATTATTGTTTCTATGCTTGATGGGATTGTAAGGTGTATATAAAGTGTGTTTTCTTACCAAAGCGGCCTTTGAGTTTGGATTTTTCTGAAAAATAAGAACATAAATAAGTGATACAAGAACTCAAGGAAAACAACAACAGCAACAACAAGAAGAAGCATTTGTGAAAATAACATAATGGTTACATGCCTGTTCTTTCCTTCTGGAGGTCCCTTCCAACCCCTACAATTCTGTGATTCTGTGATTCTGATAACAGGCAGAGCATACACTCCAGTTGAAGGTAGAGAGGTAAATATCATCAATTTTCTACCATCTAATCATCTCTACTAACATATCCAAGAAGTCATTTAAACTAAAACCGAGCTAAATAAATAAAGCTATTTATTCCATTGTGCCTAAACCGCATCCATCCTCAATTATTGAAGAAAATGAGATTTACCTCTTCGATTTGTGGCTTTCTCTTGTTCTAATCAGTTCAGCAGGCAGAATGAAAGGAAAAAAACACACATAAATGTGATAGTTATTGGATATGAACTTACTAAGTGGACTATTGCGTTTTATATGTATGGACTTTCCATAAAGTTTCACTGTTAAAGTTGAGTAAATATTCTGAAGAAAGTCTTAATGTTATTCTGCTTTACAACTAGGACACATGCACACACACAGAATCTACAGTGCTTAGCCTTTCCTTGTTACCTTTGGATATTTTCACATGAGAATAATGCAATTCATTGAAATCCCTTGTTCAAATTAAAAGGCACTATCAAGACTAGTAATCACATCAAAACCAATTGGCAAACAAACAAAAAGAAAATCAGACAATTCTCCATCTTCAGAGCAAAGGCATCATATTTAATGAACAACAAAAACGTCTTACCTAACATCAACTTCAGTTGTTCATTTTCTGGAAGAGACAATACACAGACACCAATGCATCCCGTGGCAGAAATACCAATAATACTCAAATATGCCAATATGCAAACTGCAAAATCACATAGCATGGTGTCCTTGTGCGTCCTTGGAGCTTGGCTACTTTCACTGCACTGTCAACTGCTTCAAGCAGGTGTAAACCCAGAGGAAACCAAATAATTCACCCGTGAATGGATCACAATATTTTAACTGTATTAGATGTAGGTAACTGATAAAACTTGAGCAAGGTGGAAAGACAGTTTATTTGTACTGCTGGTACATTGAACACCTCCCTGCAAGGACAGACTGAGAGCTGGAGCTGTGCAGCCTGGAGAAGAGAAGGCTCCTAGGAGAGCTGAGGGTGGCATGCCAGCATCTAAAGGAGGCTATCAAAAAGACCTGGACAGATTCTTTAGCATGATCTGCTGCGACAGAACAAGGAAAAATCATTTCAAGCCTGAAGAGAGATATTTAGGCTGGATGTAGGGAAGAAGTTTTTTATAGGAGATTTGTTGAGGCACTGGAACAACTTAACGTCATCACAAACACAAAGGGATTTTACCTTCTTCCATCGTTTTCTTCAATTTTACTAAAAAACAGAGAAAAGCAGATCATCGTGTTAGCTACTCTTGTGTACGCCGCTTATTCTGCAATAGTGAATTTTAAGTGTAAATAGAAACAAATGGGGTTAAAAGTGAAATTTAATTTAACCTGGTATATTTTCTAAGGCTCCTGGTTAGCCCTGCTTTTCCAGACCAAGGGGGATATCATTTCTAATAGAGTTACACACACAAAAGGGAAGATTTATGAAGAGCTGCTGAAGTCACTTTATTTAGATAAGAGGAGCCTGAGGAAAGACCTCATCACTGTCTAGTTATTAAAGAATCTGAGGAATGCTTCTGATGCCTTAATTATGCATGATTAGACAGGAAGTTTAACTAGGAATGATAGAAAATGTTAGTCAAATGTCAGTCCACATATAGTAATGACTAGGGCTTAATGAAAGCAGGAGCAGACTGTTTATAAAATACATATGGAAAAAAAACTCATGCAAGATGTTTTTACACTGAATGGTGCAAAACTAAAATGAAAAACTAAGATATTTGTCTATAACAATTACTAAATAGTCCATAAATATTTCCTTCATTTAAATATAAATAATCCATATGCTTTACAAAGTGTCATATTCTTCATCTTCGTCATCTCTTACCTGAATTAATTGTTCTCTTGTGGTTACCTGGTTTACAACAACAAAACAAACAAAAAAGAACAAAATGACTTTTGAAGAGTAATACTGAGAGCAATCATTTCTCTGGTTTCTCTCTAGTGACATGGGAAACTCTCTGGAATTGTGTCCCTAATGAATACAGAGAGGGTCTTAGTTGAGCTCATAGAGCAATCCTTGTCAGATCTAACGTTGTCTGAGGTAAGGACAAGCAATGTGTCTTACCACTTGTTCAGCCCATGCACTTCCCCACTCTTTTATTGTTCAATTTCCTGAATTCACTCATGAAATAATCACTGGTCGATTTGATTGTAAGCTTTTGTTGCAATCACGAATTTCAATATGATACTTCTGTACACTATTTGAAAGAATATATGAAGAAATACTTACTTTTTAGCTTAAAAAATACAACACAAATTAGGACTGCGATAGCACATAAAATTACCAGGTAGGCAGCCGGCCATTTTGAAATGGAGGGGAAGAAAATATCTACAAAAATGAACAAAAAGGTGTTGTATTATATTAATGAGTTAAATAAAAACAACTGTAACTCAGGATGTAATCAAGGAGATGGTGAGCTTGTATTTTTCTTTGATTTTCCTAATAAAATTGCTGAAGAAGATACCTGGTACAAAGGGAGCAGTAATTCAGGGAGAGTGGGTACCAAATTTGAGATATGGAGAAAGCTTTGAGAAGTTCATAAATCTGAAGGAATTCTTTTTTCCCCACAAGTGTGTTGCATTTCATACTGAACTGACCACAAGACAGGAGATTTAAAGAAGGAAGAAGTCATCAGTACTGAGCAAGACTCAGTATTTCCTTCCTTCCTTCCTTCCTTCCTTCCTTCCTTCCTTCCTTCCTTCCTTCCTTCCTTCCTTCCTTCCTTCCTTCCTTCCTTCCTTCCTTCCTTCCTTCCTTCCTTCCTTCCTTCCTTCCTTCCTTCCTTCCTTCCTTCCTTCCTTCCTTCCTCCCTCCCTCCCTCCCTCCCTCCCTCCCTCCCTCCCTCCCTCCCATTTATTCATTCATTCATTTACTTTTATTTATGAACTTTTATTTATTACTTTTCTTCCTTTCTTTCTTTCTTCCTTTCTTCCTTTCTTCCTTTCTTCCTTTCTTCCTTTCTTCCTTTCTTCCTTTCTTCCTTTCTTTCTTTCTTTCTTTCTTTCTTTCTTTCTTTCTTTCTTTCTTTCTTTCTTTCTTTCATTCATTCATTCATTCATTTTAATTCAGCTCTGTCCACTGACATCTCTAAATGTGAACCAGGGAACACAAAGTCTTGTTAATATCTGAGTTTTTTTTGAAGGAGAAAATTGGATGCCACAAAGACTGTGTAATAAACTAGAAATAAAGGTTGCAGAAGATTGCAGCTCTCGAGACCTTTTGTCCAACAGTGGTTCTGGGACTTTATTTTTGGGCCAGATCATGACATAAAAATGGGACCCACACCATTTTTCCTATCTTTTTGATCTTACAAGTAGATGACTCTGCTCACTCACCTGAAATCAGCACTCGGGATTCGCTCATCGTCTTTAGGAGATTGTTAACTATCCTGCAGGAGACTTCCATGTCAGATCCTGGTATTAGGTTCATGGAACTTAGGACACTGTACAGGCCTGAAGGCATCATCATAACTTTTGTGGTTGATAGTTCCTTCCTGATCTGTCCTTGGCCATCCAACCAAATCACTTCAGGTTTAGGAAACCACCCATCTGCATGGCAGGTGAGGCCAATGCCCTCTTTCCTGGGACTCCTCAGGAAAATGGAAGGCACACCACCTTTAGCTGAGGAGAAAACATACTTGTAAGTTTATATTCTTATAATGTTGCCAGTGGAATCTCCCCGTATTTGGTGAAAAATATAAAAACCTCATAAAATGAAGAAAATTGGTGTATTACAGGAAGCCTGTGAACAACTAGTGCAATCTGTCCATGAAAACAGAATTTATTAGAGCCTCAGGTTAGGTATTTCAAGTAAAATTCGTACTGACATAGTGAAAAAAATAAAAATAACATCATATTTTTTATATTCACGGACTCAGATGACTAAATTACAGTGTTACATAGATATTAAATCTTTGCCTCCTCTGGAATTAACTATGAAAACATCTTCAGGAGAATCTGGCTGTAATTTTTAGAAGCCACTCTGCCCATTCAGAAACAGGAGGGGAATCAGCTCTTTGAAAGGGTAGACAGCAGCAAGACAAGGGGAAATGGTTTTAAGTTGAGGGAGGGAAGACCTAGGTTGGATTTCAGGGAGAAGTTCTTTACAGAGAAAGCGGTGAGGTGCTGGAACAGCTGCCCAGAGAGGCTGTGGATGCCCCATCTCTAGAGGTATTCAAGGGCAGATTGGATGGGGCCCTGGGCAGCCTGGTCTAGTATTAAATGGGGAAGCTGGTGGGTCTGCATGTGGCAGGGGGGTTGGAGATTCATGATCCATCAAGTCCCTTCCAACCCCGGCCATTCTGCTATTCTGTGATTTAAGGAAAATTGGATCCAGTGTAGCAGAGAAAGAAAGGAAAAATGTGCTCAATTCTAAGCCAGCCACATTAATAAGAGCTACCTATGAAGATGGTATCTATTAATACTCTGAAATAAAAATAGGAGCATTGTCCACTGCTTTGTTTTCCTGATACGGGCAAGGGAAGCAGTGAGGTACTGGGATGAAACAAATTGATTGATATCCCAATTGATATCATCATAGAGAGAGACTGGACAATAGGTTCAATAATGGTTGATTGCAGAGTAGAAACCTAGATTTAGCTGAATAATAACAGAGCTTTCTAAACTTGCTGTCTAGGCTTCCGTTGAACCTGAAAGGAGATTGTACCACCAGGTCACATACAGATGCTTGGTATCTCAAGATAAATCCGTCCTCACATAGTCAAAGACAGGCATTTATTTAGAGAAAGCAAACACAAGTCAAACATTCTTCCATGGAGAAAATTTATCAATCAAATTACATTACAATTACATTTCTCTCAGTCAGTGGTGGACACACATGCTTCTGTTCATCTCCATTTTTGAATAATGCAGGAGAAGAGCCACTAACCTGCTACTTGCAGTTCGATCAGCTCATCATGGTGCTCATTATTGAAAGAGACCACACAGGTATACAATCCTTTGTCAGAACTTCTGATATTCTTCAAATGCAGAGACATGTTTCCAGTTTTAAATTCACTGTGGAATAGTTCTATTCTGCCTTGATATCTCTCATCTTGCTTTTCATTTTTATTTTTTCCATGGTATGTGCTCACCGTTATTTTTTCAGACTGCCCATTAAATATCCACTGGACAGAGAATATCTCAGGAATGTTCTCTGCTACCACATAACAAGGCAAAATGACCCCTTCTCCAATGACTCCAGTGATGGAACTACGAGGAGAAGAGCTAATAAACTGACCTGTGGAGAGTAAAAATGACAGCTGTTTTCATTTGTCCATATCATATTTTACTTGGCACTACATCAGTCAGTAAATTGACCTAATATCACTATCAACAGAAGAGAAATCTAGAACAAAAGTAGAAAACAGCATGGCAGGGTGCTTAGGTGAACAATATTCCCATTCCTCAATTTTCTGAAGATGAGCTTAAGAAAGTTCACGACCGTTAAGTGGAAACTGAGAAATCATGAAAAAAAAAGATGAAAACTGACAAAGTCTGTCAAAGATCCAACATAGGATGCAGGATCTATAGGACAGAAAAAATGAAGGTGGGATACAGTTTTTCAGATGGTGGTACCTGGTATCATTTAGAAAGTGATAGTGTGTGCATCTGATCTGCCACCTCCATGTCAATCATTTAATTAAATACCTTGTCAATTAAGCTCTAGCTAATTGTTCCATTCATTCTACAGTCAAGAGTGAAGTTTGTTCACTGAACGCAGTAGAGTTTCTTGAACACTTGCATTTCATGACCTCAGACATCAGGACTGGTAGAAGTGACCTCAGGATACACGCTGGCTATGTGTAAAAACACAGATCACAGCCTGAATTGGTGACTAGCCCAGAGAAAGATCTTGTGTTAGCTTGGGAACACAAGTAAAGTGCCTCAGCCTGCACTTCAGTCCATCCCAGGATGGACACTGTACCAACCATCCATTCCCAGTGATAAGAGCTTGCTAGTGATGGTACCAGCTGGCTCACCCCAACAACATGAGTACCTCTCTATTTAATAGATGAATATCAACTTTCTCCTGTGTACTTTCTTCAGGATCAATAAACTTTACACAGAAGCTGGCATTATTCCATTACATTGAATCTGTTCTCTTTTGGAGCATCCATGCTCAAAGAAGAAAAGCCTGCAGTACGCAGAATTTGGGTAATTGAGTGGAATCCTATACACTGAGCTTGTTTGTAGACATCTGCCTCTAGAAAGCTAACATTAAACAGCTAAATCTCTGAGCTGAGCCCATACTCTCAGGCATGACATGGTTGGCTACATCTAGAAGTCTAGAGCTGAATTCCACCTGGCTTCCATTCCCTGATCGAAAGTTTGTAGGTCCCCTACTGGCTGATGTTATCTTCCAGTCTTGATATCAGATTGTACAAGGGGCATTCTTGGTGTCTTCAGTTAGAAGTTAACCAAGTAAAAAAGAAATAAATTGTGTGCTCATTATTTATTTCTTTTATGTGAACCTAGGCATAATTAAAATGAAATATATTTAAAATTGAACTATTTTACCTGTAATCAAGCATGATAAGTGTTGAAAAGCCAGAACTTGAAAAGGTGTCAACATCCAAGACGGGAAACCCAACATTATCCAGGTTTCTTAATCATCAACACGACCGAAAGTAAATCTTCCAGGTGAAATTCCTGTGGGACTCCTTTGGTCTCTTCGTGTGTTCAGTGTAAAATAACAGGCATAAATGCACATGTAATATAATGAGGAAAAGTATGAACAAAGGTGAAGACATTGTGTTGCATGCAGTCAAAGGCAATGACATTTGCAGAGCATCTGTCTTAACAGATCTATCAAATTTAACTACCTATTGTAAATCATTCAAAAGCAATATGATCTTTGTCTGCTCTGTTCAGTTGTCCATGCTTACCTTTGTCTTCCAGAAACTCCATTACCTTCCTTGGCAATATTTTCGTTCAGTGAGAAGTTAACATTATTTTATCTTTTGTTTGTAGCAAAAAGTTCTTTCTCTTCTTTCTCTCTTAATGAAAAACAAAACAAAACGGAACCACCTTCATGGATAAATTCCTAAGCAAAGTGTTCCTATACCAATCTCCCTGTTGACTTCCATGAGCATTTTAGGGAGAAACTTGTGATTTAACAAAGGTAACTCTTTCCAACTTCCTGCAAAGAACTTGGTTTTCAAAGTCATTGCTGAACTAATCCATACTCATCATGTAAAAATTAAGTAAAAATTAAGTAGTGTCATGTCTTTAAATCTCACTAATTGGAGACAAAACACTTCCTGCTCTCCTCCACCTTTCTTTTTCTCACATTTCCAGTAACTGATAAAAATCAAGTCAGAGGGAGGCATTCCCACCCGAATAACAATGCAACTACAGCAAGCAGGTTCATGTCTGTCAGAGCTTTCCATTAATTAATTATGGAAATAATTAATAATTAATTAATTATTAGAAATTAATTCCTGTATCATTGTAAATGCAGGGGATTTTCCTTATGATTGTAGAAAAAATATAATTTCTTACCTGAATAGAACGAACCTTAAGACTTATGTAAGGGATATGGTAGTTTTGAACCTTTGTCCTTATATCTTTATTACCAGGGAAACTTGTGATTGCATTTTTAACATCCAATAGGATAGAGAGGCTTGACCAGACTGATTGGGAAAAATGTAAATGCCAAAATTCATGCTGAAAGACAAAAATATCATCTTGCCTCCCGATCCATTTCCATACACTAGGGCAAACAAGGTAGAGATATTCCTCCTCATTCCCCTGTGCAAACCAGCTCTCTCTTCAACCAGCATTTAGCCAGAAAGCGCTGCAATAAAACTTACAAGTGTATAATGAACAGGTTATTAGGTATATTGCTATTAGTATGTTTTATTCTGTTTTTCCTATCACATGCTTGAATGTTGAGCTCTCTTTGTTGACATGCCTAGATCCTGGAAGTGTGTTTTCTCATGTAATACTTTTTATGTTCCATTCAAGATCTGAAAACAATCACATTCAAGTTTACTCATTTTTGGACTTCGGTGATTCTGATTTTGCTGGTTTTTTTTTTTGTTTGTTTGTTTTCTTTTTTCTGTTGGTTTGTTTGTTTCCATTCATTTATTTACGTATTTATTCCTTAAGCAAAAGCACGGCTGTGGAAATCAGGATTCTGAACATAAAGCGTTCCAGTCTCCTTCATCTTTCTGGCTTTTTAAGCTACTCTGATTGTTTTTAACCAAATCAGATCTAGCGGTAGAGTTTTTCAGAAACAAAAAATCTCTCTAAGGTCTATGAAAAGAGTTGTTCCCAGGGAAGGTCAAGGATTTCTGCTATCACAAGGGAATTAATGAGGCTAGGGCTACAATCAGGATTGGAATAAAGCTGGTGTAATTAAATCATTGCGTTTCTAGCTTACTTCAATTTCCTACTTGGTCTCTGACTTCTATATTCATATTTCTGATTACAAATCATTCTAAAGGATAACGGACTTAGGCAACTACTGATTCTGGTTTCTCTGTCTCCTGTTGATGCTGTTTTCCATTTTAATGTAGTAATTGTCAGAAAATCATAATAGCATATGAATTGTTCTGCAAAGGTATGAAAGTGGTTGAAACACAAACGTGCTGCTGCACGTTGGACCTAGGTGTGTAGGAAAATCAAACCTTCAGGTATCTCCTGCAGTCCTTTGGACCAAAGGGCAGTAATTTCCTAGGGTTGAAGTTCAGTCTTTCATATTTGTCAACTTCAGTGAGCAAACCACTGAAGTCCACTATCTGTATAAGTAGGGAAAATGGAAGTACTTGTGTTCAGGGAATGCAAGATAACTGCAAAGTGACAAAGTTCTGCAATACAAGCTGTATTTAAAATGGATCGTTTGGTTCATTCAGGTAAGGAATGAAAGTCTGGCTGAAACAATGCTGTGCACTCACAAATGTGAGGTTTGCATGAGTATCGAGGTGGCTGTTTGCCCTTTACATTCCCCAGGGAATGGTTTCAGCCCTGGATTAAAATGGCTTCTTTCTCTTCTAGATAAGTGGGAGTACGTTTTGGAGCTCTGTGTGCAGCATTTTAAACAATTTGCTAAAGGTTGTTTAAGGTTCTCTCTTTCTAATACTTTAATGTATGCATGAACACAATCTTCTTTCTTAAGAATGGGCGAGGCATAACTCTAATCTATGATTATAGTTCTACATCAGAAGCTACCAGCTAGCAGAGTCTTTCTTAAGGTCTCTGAAATGCTCATTTATTTGCTGAAAATTTGCTTGAAAGAGAGTTTCCTGAAACTTTTCTCATCATTGGGCTTGTGTTGAGGGCTTGTGTTGAGGTCTGGGTTTGTCCAGAGTCGAAAAGTAAAACTGAGAAGACTCTCTAAAACGATTTACTGGTGTTAGTAACTAGAATATGTTCCAAAATAATGACAATATCTTCTTCTTTCAGATGCACTAGAAACTGAGTTGGGTAAGTGGTTTAAAATCTTTGTTTTCTTGGAATATGTACTGCTGCTTTAGGTAACATCAGGCCATGGATAAAATCACAGTGATGGCAATAACTGCACATCAGAAGGAAGCAGAAGACAGTCTTACAGTTACCCAACTGTGCATGAGATTCACAAAACCCTTCTGTCTCTTTTCCTTCTGCAGCTTCTTGGAGAGTTCAGGACAAAGCAGGTAAGCAGACAGGAGAGAAGACAGGAAAATGGTGCACTTCTCTGTCCAAATTCTCCTGAAATGGCAATGCCATGATCTTAGAGATCAGGCAGCTGAGCTGGAGTCACAGGAATAAGCCTGAACGAGCTGAAGTCAGTAGCATAAGCCTTCACTGGATAAAATGAAACAAGGTTTGGATGAGACAATTGGAAATACTGAGAAAAGGAGTTGCAGGATTGTGTTGTTGTAATGTATAGATCCTTAAGAGAATGGATGGAGAAATGGAAAAGTAAAAGAAACCATGTGAAGAGTGAGAGAGTCACCTGGATTTGCCCACGAGAGACTTCATGTCCATGACAGCTCCAAGGGCCTGTACCTGTGGGCTCCTCCGTGTCTGTTGCTTGCCTTCTTTGGGGGAAATGTTAAAAACTTTGTTGAAACAAGACAGGATTACTGAAACCCTGAAGTAATTCAACCAATCTTCCCCTGAAGATGGAGGTCCCAGAGGCTCACTGGATCATTTTTGTTTTCTCCTCCAGTTCCCCCTACTGCAAACAATCAATGCTGACTCCTCAATCTCCAAGAGTCAGGCGCTCCAGATGTTGAGGACAATGCATGAGAACCTGATTGCTTGAGCAGCCCCTTCATAGTCCCATCCTTGTGGGGAAGGAAGGGTTTGCAGCTGGAAAATAATTCTGGCGAGTCATTATCATGTCCAGATTACTTGGATATTCTTCCTGGTCTTTGACTTGTTTATTCAGACTTTTAATTAAAACCATTCAACTGTGTAATGGACTCAGGCAACCCAGTTTTGCATTAAGGGGTAGTTATTCAAGTCTGTGCTGTAAGTCCAGTCGTGTCTGAGTGGACTCACATGGCCACTCTTAAGGAGCCTTGTTCTATTCCATGAGAGCTCTCATGGCTAGTGCAATGAATCATGCTGTTTATTTCAGCAACAGATCACAGATTCGTTTGGATCACCTGTGATAATTACAGTGTCAGCAGCACATGTGCAGGAACCAAGAATGTGAAAGGAAAAAAAAAAAAAGGGAATAACTCTATAGGGATTTCTAAGTTTCATGGGGAAGTGCTCTGTACAGCCAAGTGCTGTCTCACCAGAGATGTGTCCCTAAAGGGGAGAAAGGGAAGATTCTGCCTGTTGAATGAATCCAGAAGCCAGCAATGTCCTCCTAAGTTGTCTACAATGGTATTTTGTCTGAATTCCTTCTCTTCTAGGACATTTTAATAGGATTTTTTTCCCTTTCATGTAGGCTTGTTTAGCAAAAAAGAAAACCAACCAAACTACACACATTAGTTTAAGAACAGATAGATTAGTTTACCAAAAGGACTTCATGTGTGCTTGTTCTAAGATTTTCCAGTTTAGCGTTGCTTGGTATGTGAACAGCCTTGTTTTGCTTGATCCTTGCTTCACTGAAGCCACAACTTTTTATCTATCCCAGTAGTATGTACTGGGAGCTCCCTTGTATCCACCGGGTGTTTCATATAAATTGTTTTGAGTTATGGTGTAGCAAGATAAAAAGTTGTTCATTATGGCGCAACAAACAGGAAATTTGCCAAATGGGGGAAAAAAAGCTCAAGGTAGTCCAAAAGTCACTGTGAAGAATCTAAAGCTGAAATAAGGAAGTAGGTGCTCATACAGATGTACCACGTATGCCCAAAGAGACACCAGCATACATTAAAAAGCTCTTGAAAAAATAATGGATATGTACATCATTTCTGGTAAAAATGTTGCATGTGTATGTCTTTACTGCTTAAAAACTGTAAAAAACTCAACTGTACTGTTGGACCTGAACTCCAAGAGTCTCAAGCATGCTTTATCTGCCAAGTTGCCCGGTATGTGTCCTGAATTAAAAGGAATGCCTGCTTTTTGACACCGCATTTGAGTTAGAGTGTTTTCTTCCCAGACTTTCTGATGATCCTTTCAGGTACCTTATTGTCACTTTGTGCCTTCAGGACCTTGTTGTAGCATCCTGTCCATAAAGAGTGAGAAGGGCTGACCAGATTCACAAATACCAGCAGACATCACAGTCTTGAACTGACAAACAGCAATGAAGACTGCAGAGAAAATGATGACCTGAGGCCTCTTTCAAGCATTCTTTTATGCATGCTAGATTTACAGGTGCACCATCCCAAGATTGTAAGCAAATAAGTCCGCAATATCAGGTTTCTCAAAAGTGACTCGTCATCCATATCTTTGTTGTGATTGATTAAATGGAAAGCTGCTGGCTCAGGGTGACAACCCTGCAGGCTCCCAGTTCCATGGTACCACCAAATTCCCATCTCTACATGTTTATCTCAGTTTGGCTGAATGGTTTTCACTCTGCTCTACAATTGTAACGCTTACAGTCAGCACAGCACATTCTCCTGGTGTTAGTAACATCGAAATTTGCCAGTTTATGTTGTTTAGAACAGACTCCCTGCATATTCACCTCATTCCACCATGGAAGTTTTCTCCACTCTGTACTTTCTCTTAAGAGTGACTGCAGTCACTCAATCTTCATAACATTTATAAGCAACTGGGGAGGTCGAATGCAGTTTTATGAAGATCACAGCTCAACAGGTTCTTGGGCTGCTCACTTTTGATAGAGTAAGATGATTGGATCAGACTCATAGCACTGCCCAAGCTGCAGAAAGCAAAGATAAGAAATGGGTGAAGAATGTTCTGCCTGCTGTAAGTGAAGGTCAGGTTCGAGGCCATCAAAAGGACCGGAAGGTACACAAGTTGAATGGATGAAGCAAGGTCTGTGGGTACTGAGTACTAGCAGGTGAAGTTGTCATGCCTCTATCCATCGTATTTGAAAGGTCATGGCAGACTGATGAAGTTCTCATTGACTGGAAAAGGGGAAACATAACCTCCATTTTCAAGAAGGAAATAAAAAAGAAGATCCAGGGAACAGCAGGCCAGTCAGTGTCACCTCTGTGCCTGGAAGCATCATGGAGGAGATGCTCTTGAAGGCCCTACTAAAGCACACAAGAAATAAAGATGAAGTGATTGGTGGTATCCATGGCTTCATCAAGGGTAAGTCATGCCTGACAAATTTAGTGGCCTTTTAGGATGGAGTTACAGCATCAGTGGATAAAAGGACAACAGACATCATCTACCTGTACTTGTGTAAAGCGTTTGGCACTGTCCCACATGACATCCTGGTTGCAAATGATGCCAAGCTGAGTGGTGCAGCTGACATGGTAAGAGGGAAGGGATGCCATCCAGAGGGACCTGGGCAGGATGGACAGGTGAGCTCATGTCAACCTCATAAAGCACAACAAGGTCAAATACAAGGTCCTGCACCTGCTTTGAAGCAATCTCAAGCACAGATACAGACTAGGAGGAGGATGACTTGAGAGCAGCCATGAGGAGAAGGATTTGGGGATGTCACATAAGCCAGCAATGTGCACTTTCAGCCCAGAAGGCCAAAATTTATCCTGGGTTACACCAAGAGAAGCTTGGGTGACTCAGCATGTCGAGGTAGGTGATTCTGCCCTCTACTCTGCTCTCATGAGAGCACACTGTCACAACCCCTTAGACTGGTCTCTCTGTCCTTGATGGGGATTTCTGTTTAATGTAGTAACTGTCAAGAAGTCAGACAAAAATATGAGCTTGTGAAGTGAGCTCACATGAACCTTATGAGATTCAACAAGATCAAGTGCAAGGTGTTGCAACCTGCTCACAGCCATCCCAGAATTGTGTACAGACCGGGCAAAGAACTCACTGAGAGCAGCCCTGCACAGAGACAGCCAAGGAAAGCTTGGATGGGTCCTGGGCAACCTGATCCAGTTTCTGATTTAGTGGGATGCAAAACTGTCCACAGCTGGGGAGCTGGAGCTCAACGAGCTTTAAGGCCCCTTCCAACCTAAGACATGTTTCAGTGAGATGTAATGCACACATGAGGAAGTGTTTGAAACAGAAACCTGTTGCTGCACTTTGGATCTAGGTGGGTAGGGAAATCAAAGCTTCAGGTATCTCCTACAATCTGTTGGACCCA